AAGGTTAACAGCGAAGAGTAAGTTAATATTTTATAAATTTATTTTATAAACACAAGAAACAATATAATGATAAATTACTACATTTGTTCTGTTATATAGATGTGTCCTGATGTATATAATATTTATATATAATTTATAAATATTTGATTATTTACAATACAGTCTGTTCCAAACCCTTCTTTCAATGCGTCACTAATTTTGACGTCATATAGGATTTTAGGAATGTCGAGAATTATTGCTTGATATTTTAATTAAATCTGACAGTTGCAGGTAGGTAGGTAAATTGTCTGAAAATACTAACCTGGAATGACAATTATCATTTAATCAGTTGACATTGTGAAAGTACTGTCACTGTCACGATCGAGACCATCTGATTCAAATTATATTTATGTGCATCATCGATTGGATATCTATTTAGCGTATTGTAAACTTCAACCAATTATAAATCCGTAAGTAGAATTCGCTTTAATATGCGAATACCCGTGAACAATACATAATTTTCTAAGTACTATGTATATTAATAACAGACTCACGTTTTTTTTTCTGTCACTTGTAGCTTAATGCGTTAGAGAGAATTCTAACAACTATGACGCACTGAAAGAAGGGTTTGGGACGGACTGTATTTATTATTTGTGTTATTAATATGGTGTTTGTTCGGTCTAATATCAATTCGACCGCTTTTAAAACTTAATAAGATATAAAATTTAATAAGATTTTAATTGTTTAAGATTTTTATCCTCTTGTTAACCCATTAACAGCCAAAGGTGCGTCTACGCACCCTTCATTTTTATTTTTTTACATACTGCTAAAATACTTAGTACTCTAATAAGTATTCACAAATATTCTAGCATGTTTGTTTTATCTTTATAATCATCATCAGTCGGCGTTACAACCCTTCGTGAGCCTTGGCCTGCTTCAAAACATTCTTCCATCCTTCCCTATCGAGTGTCTGTCTTCTCCAGCCCTTCACTCCAATCTCCCTCAGATCTTCCTGTACATGGTCCAGATATCTGAGTTTGGGTCGCCCCCTTCTTCTTCTTCCGACCGGCCTCTTTAGCGTAGTTATTTTAGTGGGACCACTCTCGTCCATCCGCATAAGTGGCCCACCCACCTTAGGCGGTTTATTTTGATGGTCTTCACAATATCTTCATCACCAAAAAGTCTATTATCTATATCTTATATCTAGGACACATAATGCGCCATAAGGAATTTGAGCAGCTCCAGGTAATATTAGAAGGCAAAATCGAGGATAATTGGACTCACACAACAGGAAATGACTTAATCCATCAAGCCCAGAACAGAGAGAAATTTGCCATATTGATCGCCAACCTCAATAGAGAAGGCACTTAGGAGGAGGAGGAAAAAGTCTATAGAGTTCAAAGGTCCTCAATACTTTTCTTTCAAAGACTCGTAGTAACTCTTCTTCATCTCGGGTCGTCATTGCCCATGTTTCCTATCCGTATGTGAGCACTGGGCGTATTATTGTTTTATAAAGTTTGCACTTTGTTGCTATTGACATACTTCTCGCTCTTAGTTGAGGACCAGGTCAAAATAACAGCGGTTAGCCACGCATATTCTTTTTTTTTATCTCGTTGAATGTGTTATTTTTGTAGTCTACCAATGATCCTAAGTAGCAAATTTCTTCTACAATTTCTATCGTGTCGTGTTGCACCTCTAAGTTATTTTGTTGAATTCTTGATATGGCCGGCATATATTTAGTTTTCTGGATGTTAATCAGAAGTCCGATGTTTTCTGCGGCATTTTTGATACGTGTGAAAGCCTCCACTGCTTCATTTTGGGTTATTCCAATTATGACGATATCATCAGCGTATGCCATTATCTGTATACTACGGGTATATATCGTACCTTTTAAGTTTATTCCCGAATCTCTCATAACTTTTTCTATGTTGAACAGCGTGCATGATAGCGCATCTCATCATTGTCATTTTAATTAATTCTACCAATCCTTTTGGTATTCCTAATTCGATCATTGCCGAATATAATTGGGACCTATCAATAGTATCGTACGCTGCCTTAAAGTCGACGAAGATGTAATGGCAATCTATGTCGTACTCCGTCGTTTTTTCTAATATTTGTCTGATGAATTATATGTGATCAATGGTAGATTTGTTTTTCAAGAAGCCTCTTTGGTAGGATCCTATTATATTGTCAGTATACCGTGCCAGTCGTTCGTTAAGTATCAGGGACACAATTTTGTATGCTATATTAAGAAGGGAAATCCCTCTAAAGTTGGAACATTCAAGAACGTTTCCTTTTTTGTGTATGGGGCATATAATTCCAGTATTCCAATCTTCTGGTAACGCGCGTTCTTGCCATACCTGTATTAGTAGTTTGTGAAGGAGGGTTACAAATGTTTGATCGCCATATTTAAATATTTCTGCGGGTAGGTTGTCTGCTCCGGGTGACTTGTTTCTGGCTAGAGACTGAATTGCTTTGTTTATTTCTTCCAAAGTTGGTACTTCAGTATCCTCCTGTTTATTTCTATATCACATCTACCTTCAGCTCCACTTTTTCCATTAAGTAGCATACTAAAATGTTCCTGCCATCTTTCGAGGACTACTTCCACTCTCTCGTTTAAAAGAATTCCGTTAAGGGCCTTGACTTGGTTTGCTTATGGCTTGAAAACTTTTCTTTTTGTGTTAACCTGTTTGTAAAATTTTCTGTATTCGTGTTCTCTATTAAGGTTTTCCATTTCTTCGAACTCTTTATTGATTTGTTGCCGCTTTTTCTGTTTGTGTTTTTGTTTTTCCTCTCGTCTCTTTACTTGATATTCTTCAACATCGCTCCTAGTCCTTCTGTTGATCATTTTCAGATACGCGTCGTTCTTCTCTTTCGTTACTCGTTGGCATTCCTCATCAAACCAGTTGTTTCGCTGTCCTTTGGGTACTTCACTCAGCACTTCCTCTGCGGTCTCTTTGAGCGTGGTTTTCATAAACTCCCAATTTGTGTTAAGTTCAGTGGGATATACCTCACTTCTGGGATGTTCTGATATTTTACGATCTAAGCATATTTGGAAGTTTCTTACGACTTCAGTACACTTTAATTTATCAACATTATATTTGATTATTTTTGGTTTAGTTTTATCGTTCCTGGCGTTTGATATACGTGCTCTGAGACGTCCAGCTATGAGATAGTGATCGGAGTCAATATTTGCACCTCTATAATTTCAGCAGTCTAGTATATCTGATCCATGTCTTAAATCAATCAGTACGTGGTCTATCTGATTTTGGGTCTGATGATCTGGCGATGTCCACGTCACTTTATGTATACGTTTATGTTGAAATTATGTACTACTGATCGTCATGTTCAGAGATGCTGCGAGATTTACAAGTCTCGTCCCATTATCATTACATTCTTTGTGTATGCTGTAAGGTCCTATGGCTGGTCTGTACATCTCCTCTTGTCCTACCTTGGCATTCATGTCTCTGATAATCAACTTAGCGTCATTATTGGGACACTGTCTTTATGTTTGTTCTAGTTTCCCATAGAATTCTTCTTTTTCTGTGTCTGTTTTATCCTCAGTGGGGGCATGTGCGTTTATAAGACTGTAGTTAAAGAATGTTCCACGTATTCTTAGAACACATATTCTATGATCTATAGCGTCAAAACCTATTATTAGGTTATTAACTCTTTTGCTAACTACAAAGCCTACCCCAAAGATATGTTGAGTTTGATGGCAGCTATAATATATGCTATTCAGATTCTTCTGGAGAATACCGGTCCCTTTCCATCGCATCTCCTGTATAGCTGTTATGTTCATGTTATATTGGACTTGATTTTAGAAAAAAAAAAATATTTTCCAATTTGTAAAACTAATTCGATTTTTTAACTGTTTGACAACATCATGAAGACAATAATTTTTTGTCGACTTTTTGACCCAACGAAAATATATGTTATGATAATATAGCTTCAAAATACTATTACTTTTTATTCTAATTTGCATACTTTGATGAAACTTGGCCTGGAATTTTTCAATTTTGGTTTAAATATTGAGGGTGCGCGTACGCATTTTTGGCGCATAACGCCATCAGTGACGATTGATGGTCATCAGATGGTCAGTTTGTCAGTTATAGTTAATGGATTTTGACAAGAGCTATGACCTTGTAAGTAACCAGTAAACTTGTATACTAAATCTGCATGACTCATAGCTCTTGACAAAATCCATTACCTTTACATCTGTACTCTAAAGGTCGATTCAAACACATCAGTCACGTCTCGTCAAAGTCCCGGCGCTAAACCGAACAATCCGTCATACAAAATATTATTTAATAGAAATATGCCGCCGGCATTCACATTCATCAGTTGTTGACGAACAGTTTCCCAGATGTCAGATAAATAATAGTTTTGTGATCAAACAGGACCGGTTCGGCGCCGGGACTGTGACGGGACTGATGTGTTTGAATCGACCTTTATTGTAAGTACGTGTATCAAACAAACAAAAAATAAAACACTCTTATATTAAAATTTACATTTTTGTTTGAGTTTTCAGTAAACTTTAAGACACCATTTGCAACGACAAAAAATATCGTCCTTTCGGGAATTAATTACGTTTTACAAAATTAAATATTATTAACAGTTTTTTCTACGTTTTATTCAATTTAATTATTATTTTTATATTGTTTCCGAGGAAGTTTATCAAACACGCATCTACACAACCACGGAATATATTAGTTTAAGTTTAATTGAAAAATCATATTTAAAAGCCAATGACCTAAATTGTATTTCTTATTTACTTTTTATAATTTTTTAGTATAATGAAAGAACCAAATAATCTTGACGAAATGCAGGCAGCGATTGCCCTTTTTGAGTTATTAAGGGAAGATGTGCCTATTCGTGAAGAAACATTCGTTCTGATTCGAGAACAAATCGTAACTCTAGATAAATATAATGTACCCATCCCGGATGTATTGCGACTACAGGAGAAGAATATACCTAAGGAATGGGCTGCATATCTGGAATTACTGGAGCAAGCCGAGAAGATGTTAGAGTATTCAAAGGTACTCGTCAAAGAAGCCAAAAAGAAGTAACCTATATACCTTTCCTATATATTTCCCTCTCAATAACAAGTTAAAGTATTAGAATACAATAAATCTTTATGTTTCATAGATATTACAACTTTATGCTTCCTTTACCTCTTCCTCCTCAATATTTATTTCTTCGTTTGTCGTCACCTCTGGTGTTGGTGGTTCATTATCGTTCAAATTTAGCAAATAGGGATCGAAAGTAGTCTACCCATGTTTTCTTCTAAATGTGTTTTGTTTTTATTAGTTCGTTCATCTCTTTTCCTTGTTCTCTAATCATTTTCCATATTTCTTTTTGTGTTCCGTATGAGTCGTGTTCCATCTGTTTTGAGAAGCTGTTGTGGTTGTATGTCTGTTGTTTTATGTGAGTCCGCTAGATGCAAAACTTTGTATTTACTGTATAAGTCAAACTGAGTTATTTGCAAAAAACTGATAAATTTTGCAAAAAACCTTAGACATAATAAATGGCACTTTTTTGTGATAGATAAATGCTTTATTAGGTAAAATATAATGATTTTTTTCTTAGAAAGTTATTGGATTTGCTAGAAAAGGAAGAAAAATTTGAAAATACCGAGTTTTGCAAGTGAACTATGTAAATACAGATTTATGCAACTAACATTTGCAAATACATGATAATAGTCAACCATTAACGATATTAGTGGTTGTTATATTAGTCTGTTTTTTAAACCTAGTGTGTTAGGAATAAGAAAGAAAGCAGGTGGAAGTAAACGTTTAGTGAAGTTTATTTTTATCCAAAGTACAAAAGGTATTACAAATTATAATATGTATATATTTATATTAATTCCTAAACTCTAAGTTCCTCTGGGTCCTCATCATCAATATGATCATTTTCTGCAGCACTCTCGTTATTATTTTCTTGTACGCTAGTATCTATAATTTTATAAAATTTGAGATCCGGCTGGTCTCTCCAATTTTCACCAAAATGGTTTCTAAGGAGAGTGCCTATGGACGATTTATCTCCTTTCAATGAACATCCAATCTGCTGTAACTTTGGTTTCAATAAAGAAATCTTTTTCCCTTTTCGTATTATAGACTTGCTGAACCCTATGTCAGAACGATAAAATATTTCCCCCCTTACCGTAGCCATATAACATTTGTCCTTAGAAAATATAAATCGTTTCGTTGCATTATATTTAAAATGCCACTGGGAAGGTTTTTTAACAACAACGTCACTCGTCTTTCTCCAGTCTGATATCTGCCAGTCTTTACCAAGTCTCAGCACCTTTTAGTGTTTTCCAATTATGTCTTCATATTCTTTTCTGTTTATTACAACGTTCTTCTTTTTATCTCCCTTTCTATCATACCGAAAATCCTATCTGGTGGCAAAAAGGAATGACCAACAACAGAAAACGTAAACTCCACTTCCTTGATGTAACCAGGTGTTTCATAAACCAACCAGTAGATTATCATAGACATCATCGTGCTATTTTTGTTCTGTCCACCACATCTATCTGCAAATAGGTGAACTTTTTCGATTTGATTTTTAAAGTTGAATTTTATGAGAGTATCATGTACAGCAGAGGCAACAGCATTTGAATCTTTTGGATGTTCAAACTCCAGCCACACATATGACGTCACATTTACAGAAGAAAGATGGGATTTCGAATTTCCAGCCACGATGGTGAAATTATAAAAATTTATTTGCTGTGAGAAATAACCCACCTGGTCGGGAAGCTTTGGCAAAGAAAGATTTTTTTGACAATCAAAAGAAAATATTTGTGTTATGATTTGATTCATTTTTTAACAAAGAATAAAAGGCTTTAGCTCTTAACGTATGAACTCTCTGCACTGTTATAACTTTTAACTTTTCTTCTTCTGAATTTTCTTTTCTCAAAATTTCCTTCGCTCTGAGACATGCAGAACAAGCATCTACTAAGGGAGTGTCGAATGATATGTTGTAGTGTTCATTAACGTATGTTCGGAAATATGATAACTTTACGGAATGATGTGGATGAAGTTGACAATACATTCTGTAAAGCTTTGTAAAATTCAGATCACATGGTAAATACAATCTAGTCGATCGTCCTCTATTATAATGACTCTCTGCACCGTTCAAACGCCCCATAAATGTTTGGATAGATAATTTTATTGGATCAAATCTACCTTTTGTTGTATCTCCCCCTCTTCTCTCTTTTGGTATTTCACCCCAGATAACAAACGTTCTTACAACACGCTCTATTCTTTCAGAACTTAAATGAGTTATTCCAAGAAATGCTGTCTTGCATACTCTTAAAAGTCCACCCTCTACTGTAGGAACAAAATATTTAATTGAAATTCCATGTAGGTTTGTACTTGATCTCTTGGGCTTTTGACCTTCACAAAATTTCAGCAAAAAAATATCTTGTTTTATTTTGTCAGTTGTTGAATACAGATTATTATGGAAACGCTGAATGTCTCGCATCTTTAAATCTATACAACAATACACTTTCTTTGTATGGTTACAGGTGGGAAAACCGGGTAAATCCTTAGGCTTATGCCTAAAAATATTGACAATAAGGCCCAAACCTATCTAGTTAATTGTAGACACCTCTTACCTATTAAGTTTCATTACATTTCGTTTCCATTTTTCTGTTTGTACAACTCGTTTTCTCCCTTTCCCTTTTTCACAAGGTCTAATATGCACATGAAGATCCATAATGTTAATTATTTGCAATAAACTTGGTGTTTTTAGTACTCAAATAACAAACAGTGAAACCGGTAATGGCGAATGATGGAATAATTGACATGTGCACATGAGACGTGTCATGTGACTCAAACAATGTAAGCGATTGGCCAATTGCAATTACACAGTTATGCAACTGGCATAGGCTGATTTCTAATGCCTTTTTCTTAGTAAATACCTTACTTTGCTGCTGAATTTCTACATCAGCAGATAGCTATAACATGTGACAAATAACTGTCAGCTAAAACTCAATTTTTACAATTTTTGCAAATACAGAGTTTTGCATCTAGCGGACTCATGTGTTGTAAAAAGGCTTTGTTCTTTTCTTCACATTTTGTCTTCACTTCCTCTCTAAAGCATGGTGTTTTATTTTTTGTTATGTTAGTGTTCGTTACTTTTCTCTCTCCAAGTGATTCTGTTGCTGCGTTAATTATGTTATTTTTGAGTTTTTCCAGCTTTTCTCGATGTTATCGTTTTCTAATATTGCGTTTCCAGCGATCTTCTCTGATATTCGTTTTCTGTATAAGTATTCCGTGGATCCCATATTTAGTCCTTCGACTTTCATTTTTGTTTGTGTTAGCGCCGCTCTCTTGGGTGGGAACTATTTCAGAATGATTCTTATTTTACATAATACTAGGTTATAGTCGCTGTCGCTACCTACATCTACTGAGTTGAGGCATCTTGCGTCGATTAGTTTCGATGGATGTATATTTCTGTTAGTTATAACATAATCTATCATAGATCGTTGTCCACGAGTGTAATTAAATGTATATTTGTGTTAGTCTTACAACAAACTTGGTTCTTAGTAGCACTTGAGTTAATTTTGGTCTACTTTAACGAAATTCCCTTCCTAATGTATCTTTGAATCCCATTTCCTACTTCTTCCTTGGTTAAACCATAATCTTCAGTATTTATTGACAACATCCCTTTGAATAGGTAGTAGATATATTGTTTTAAAAATAAAGATTTTTTTAAATTTGATTCTTTTAGGAAAAATTCAAAACTAGTCTCTTGGAACAAGCTGAAATATCCAGGAAAGAAGCGAGAGAGTTATTGGAAGATTTCCAAGAACACGGACCGTTCACGTCCGATATTTCTGCTAAGGATGCCCTCGCTTACTTAGCTGATATTCGAGCAAAATTGAACGCGATGAGAAACAAAGACGAAGAGCTTCGAAACGACTTGGCTATATTCGGCTTAAGCTTCGGAGATAACATTGATTTATCTAAACTTGATGCTGTAGGTTTTTTAATACATAACTGATGCTTTCTAACTAAACATATATCTTTAAGGAACTGACTACCTTAGAAATCGTATGGACTATAGTGGACGAATGGGACACGGCTTGGGAGAAGTACAAATCGGGAGAATTTTGGGCCATCGAGACAGCAGAAATGGAGGAAACTGCTCAAAATCTCTTTAGAAAACTTACGAAACTGTCGAGGGAGTTTAAAGAAAAGGGGTAGGTTACAGTTCTGTTTATTTTTGTTTTACATTATAATTAATTTCTTAAAAAACGTTAACGTAGGTGGACAATAATTGATGATACCCGAGCTCGCGTAGATGCCTTTAGAAGGACGCTTCCATTAATAGGGGATCTGAAAAATCCAGCTATGCGAACGAGACATTGGGATAAAGTACGGAAAGCTGTGGAAGTTGATTTTGACGAAACTTCCAAAGAGTTTAACCTAGAAGCAATATATGCAATGGAACTACATAAGGTTATAAAGTTATTTATTGTTTTCTTTGTTTTTCTTTTGTTCTAGATGTTTTTTTTTAATCTCTTTCATAGCTTACTGATACCTTTAAATACCAAAAAACAGTTAGACCAACTTAAAATTAGTTTTTCAGGGAATTTCTTTCATGATTTTCATTTATTTAAAACTTTTACATTATGCTTATTATCAATTCATATATTATTTGTATTGAGCTCTTTAATGTATTACTATTATATTGTACTATTTTTGAAAGCAACTAAACATTATTCTTATCTAACTTTTCGTTTATTTCTCACTTATCTTCCATCATCTCTTTTCCCTTCTTTTCCTTTCCTTTGTTTTTCATTCCTTTCATTTTCAGTCCTTGTCATGAGAATATTTAAATCTATATTCACAATCTACTAATGATAAAATGAATTTATAGTTCGCTGAAGAAATAAACGAAATATCCAATGCTGCTACTATGGAATTGCAAATTGAAAATGGTATTGCTGCCATATCTAAGACCTGGGAAACTATGAAGTTTGAGATGGTTCCGTACAAAGAACGACATTTATATAGGTACGGACTACTAATATACTGGTATATTTTCAACATTTATTTCTGGTTTTTGGAACAAAAAAGTGTACAAAATGTTTAAACAGTCGTAAGAATTATTTATACTCTGTTTGGAAATTAATGATAGTACAGCATATAATATTTTCGTCTTCTTAGCGTGTTTTATCAAGTACCCTGTACAATTATTGTACAAAACTAAGACAAGAATATGTTCTACTTGTTGCAGCCTTCTGCCATAATGACTGTGGTATCAGGCATTTCCAAATTAAGTATAACAAGTTATCTGTATCAAGACACTTAATCTAAAAAAAACTAAATAATAACGTCGTTTCTGAACTATTTTACAGGATTAAATCTGTCGACGAATGCTTTCAAGTGTTGGAAGAAAATCTCATGCAACTATCGATAATGAAGAGCACACGCTTTGTGGAACCGTTCACCAAAGAAGTAGACAGATGGGAAAGAGGTCTGTCTTATATTATGGAATGTTTAGAAATGGCTCTGCAAGTTCAAAGGGAATGGCTTTATCTGGAGGTATAACAACAATTTATCGTATACCAGTTCTTTCTATTTATTTATCTTTCAGAACATATTCTTCGGCGAAGATATCAGAAAACAATTACCGAAAGAAAGAGAAGATTTCGATCATTTGACCGAGACTTGGGTAGATATCACTACTAGGTTGTATTTTTCTAAATCAGCTCTAAAGGCTACTCACTTTCGACCACCGCCGTATCTGCTTAACAAACTAAACAAAATGTACGAAAGGTTAGATCTGCTCCAACGAGCTTTGGAGAAATACTTGGAAACGAAACGGCACATATTCCCCAGGTTTTATTTTATTTCCAACGACGATATGTTAGAGATTCTCGGAAACTCGAGAAAACCTGAGCTAGTTCAGCAGCATTTGAAGAAGCTCTTTGATAATATAATCAGGATTAAAATTCTAAGAAATGTTGGTATGTATAAGACGAGTTTTTTGTTCATTGTCAAATATATGTTTATATATTCTAAAGTCTATTTGTTTGTCTCTTTGAATAAGCTCATTACTTGACTTCGGCAAATATGCAAATAAAAATGTAGAAAATATGCGCATAAATATGCACGTGTTTACCCGAAAATATGCAAATATTTTACAAAATATGCATACAAATAAAAAAAAATCGTAAAATAGTAACAATTTTATTTAAAAAAAAAAGTGTACATAACTAAATATTTCCTACTATTCATTAAGATTTACATTTATTTTAAGTAACTACATCATTTTTAACTATGAATAAACTTATTTAGAATTATGGTAACAATAAATGACCAAGTGGTGTTCAAAATTTTCTAACAAAAACTTGTGGCTTTTGTCTGAGTACATATATTTATATATGGAAAAACTTCGTTCAACATCAACTGATGTAACGGGAGCATTTTTCAAACTAACCAAAACATTTGGTTCTAAATTAATTGTTTTCGAAATATTTCCAGCTAGAACACTGACTACTTCAGAAAGAATATGGTAACCTTTATTTTTTTCCATAGTAGCTTCAAATTTTTTTAAAATATCTTTTCCAATATTACCTCTAACGTTCCGACAACATGACGCAAATTCTTTTATTAATGCTGTACTTTAGAACAATGACAGTTTTGGTGATTCTAACTGAGTAATTGTTTTTTGAACAAAACTAAAATTTGATTTTATAAATGAAAGTTCTTGTTGAAGCAAGTTACTCTGAAAAGTTTGTTTAGAATCCAAAAGAGATTGGGAACTTTCATCTGTTAACGTATCAATCATGTTCTTTATTTTAACAAAATGATCTGCATAAAAATTAGCTGCTTCTAGCCATGTTCCCCATCGCGTTAAAATAGGTTGTGGTGGAAGAGGAATGTTAGGTAGCATTTCTTTATAAAGTTGAATTCTTATAGGAGATTTAAGAAATACTTTTTTAACACTGGATATCATTGTATTTACAAGAGGAAACTTTTTTCGTATTCCCTCTGCAACTCTGTTTAATCCATGCGCTACACAAGTAACATGTATTAAATGTGGGAAAAATATTTTTAAATTTTGTCCTGCTTTCACCATATAAGGAACAGCATCCGATAAAATAAGCAGTAATTTATTAGAAGGAATAGTTGTCGGAAGAAAAAAAGTTGCTAATGTTTCTTGTATAAAACGCGAAATTGTTAAAGCATTTGTTTTCTCAAGTTGCTGGCATGAAATAAGATGAGATTTTGGTAAGGTATCTTCTTTAAGAACACCAATCAATAAATGAGCAATATACTTTCCTGAGGAATCAGTGGTTTCGTCTACAGATTTGTAAAAATAATTATCTGCAATTTCTTCCTTAATATTAATTAACACCGACGAGTATAGCCCGTTCACATTATTTCTTCTTAGAGACCGATCACTTGGAACATTAAGTTTGCAATATTTTTTTAGAAACGAACTAAAATTTACATTTGCTAATTTTGAAAGCGGTATGTTTGCAGACACTAATGCGCGACACAAGTCTTCATTAAAAGTTTCTTGCTCATCTAATTTTTTTGAAGTAGATTGGAAACATTTAGCCATTGAAGTTTGATATTTTCCTTCTATTTTTCCTTTTTTTGCAATGTGTGAAGCAGTTCTCATATGTTGGTCTATCTGAAATTTCTTCTCACATGCTATCTATAAATAAAAATAAAAACCTTTATTTTAACCCAACCTTTAAAATATAAAAATATACAAGGTGTTTTTGGTTAATCAAATAACTGGTTTGGAAAAAAAAACACTCGTTAAGTGTTTTAAATGCAGATTAATCCACAAATTAGTTTTTGTTACTAACCATTAGTACATCATATAACTTATTTTAAAATTCAACAAAAGTTTTTTTTTTGTTAATTCAATTACAATAAAAATAATTGTGTTTTAGAATAGCTGACTTCATAAAAAAAAAGTAAAGGTGAAAAATTTTTCTAAATACACACCATTGTATTGTACCATGGACAATTTTTTCTCACTAAAGGAAGCTATTTTTCATTTAAAAACAACCTATGAGTACTAAATTTCAAGTAAATACGTTTATTGGTTTTAAAGTTATTGTTGTTATTAACTAAAAGAATTTAATTTTTTTTAATTTTAACACCCTGTATCTCGAAAAGTAAATAAGTTTGACCCCTCATTAACTATATCGTTTTGTTCAATTTTTCGAGAAGTATCTACAGTCAAACGTTGTAAGTGTCATTTGGAAACACCCTGTATGTATGAAATATTAGATATTTAATAGAAAATATTAGATACTTACAATTTTGCCACAGACTGAACAGTAGATTTTTCCCATATCCATAGACAGCTCTTTATAAGGTTTAATCCAAGTTGAAGCACTGGTTGTTTTAGGCATTATAAAATCACAATCTTCCTTTTTGTTACGCACAACGAGTGTTTACGCTTTGAATATCAAAACAAAAATGATTTACAAATCTGAGCATCAAATTAGAAATGTTTAGGTACCTAATTCAATAAACTGGGAGATTTTAGAAAATCCTTAAATTAGGAACAAAACTATTAGCCGTTTACCTGCTGTTAAGATACAATAAATTGTAGATAGATTTGGGGATTAGATCATAAAATGCAAATGAGCGAACTCTTAGCGATTATCCAATAACTGAATGCCTTAGTGACCGAGACTTTCTAAGAATGTTGAGGGCTACTTAAATTGATCTTCTTTGAAATTGTAAATGTTTTGTACCAGTAGAGATTACGTACTTAGATCATTTCTTGATTAAAATGGCTACAAAATTTTATACAAGAATTGAAATAAATTGGTATGTTTAAAAATTTTTAAATACAGTATAAAAATCTGAACTTTTATGCACTTTATGCAAACTTTTATACAAATATGCCAAAATATGAAATATTTGCATAAAATATGCACAATATGTAAAATATGCAATTTGAAGCTTCGTCTTCTTCTTCTTCCTTTTTGCATGTAGGCTTTAATGCCTGTTTCTTCTTTAATATTAGCCTCTTAAATTTTTTAAATTATTGCACCATCAAAATATTAAATTTATTTTTACGGACGATCGTTTTAGGTGCCAATAAGCAAGAATGTGTTGGAATGTTTTCTGACGACGGTGAGTTTATTGAATTTTCCAAAGCCTTCTTTATGGAGGGTCCGTCAGAAGAATGGCTGGGGCGATTGGAAACAGCCATGCAGGTGACGTTAAAGACGGCCTTTAAACCGATCAGAAGTGATCTAAAGAAAAACCTTAACAAAAGGGACAGATGGTTGATGAATAACTGCGGACAGTTGTGTAACGCCTGCAGCTTGGTAAGTTTCATTGTTAATAAATATCCTACATTGAACTTTTGCTGACATATACAGGTTAGATAACTATTTTCTTTACCAGCTGTACATGTCTAAAGAAATTGTAGTTGTTCTGATGAACTTTTCAAATCCGTCTGGCATAGTGCATTAGTCCACTGGTTTTTTAGTTAACTTATCGGTTGTATAGACGGCTCCTTTAGTTTTGTTGTAATATAGAATAATTTCAGGTTTATAGTAGTGTTCTTCACCAGCCACTTTGCCGTCAACATGCTCACTTGAAAGTAAGATAACTGCAGTTCTTGGTTTTAAAACATAACAGACTAACGTTCGATGTTTTCTAAAAGCAAACGTACTTGAATAATCTGTTTCATATGATGCTGGTAGAAGCTCCCTTGGAATAAACGTTTTATTTTTTCGAAGAGTTCCACATAGAGTTATATTCTTAATTTCGTGAAAAAATGTCAGTTGTTATTCCCAACCCTCCTTACAAATGGTCTATTAAGTCTAGGACAACTCTTTGACCTTGAACTTTTTTGCCTTGAGACCTTGTTTTCGTAAAAATAATAGATTTAAAAAATTGTTTGTTTTCTTATTAGCAATTCAAAAACTTACCCAAATCAATTTGCATGTTTACAATAAAAGAAGTAGTGTAGTCCACAAGGGCCCATATCTTTAATCCGTACTTGTCAGGTTTGCTCTTCATATAAACTCGGAATGGTGCTTTACCTCTAAAAGGCACGAGCTGCTCATCTCCACTCTGATGGTCGCCTAGATTAAGTAATTTCTTACAATTAGAAATAAAAATATCACATATATGTCTTATTGGGGCCAGTTTATCTACTGATTTTCGTTCTTGTCTGTCACACCACATCCATGAAAGCTCCAAGTATAAGCAGTACTCCAATATAGACTTAAATCCCTACAGAATAAACGTAAACATACACTTTAGTTTTACTTGGGTTTTCACTATTCTATTTATCGTAATACGCTTGAGCCATTAGTTTCCATGTTTAGAATTTCGTTTGAAAAAAACAGAAAGCAAGCGTTTTTGATACTTGATATATACATCACTGTAATTTGTAAGTCCTAAAGCATGTCTACGAATATTGGCCTTTGCGCGTTTCACTTTTGTGTTTTTTGGCAACCTTGACAACCTAGTTCCATCTTTAAATCCATATACCGGTAAGCTATCGGAGTCAGTAACTGTTGGTTCATTTTGCTCTATGGTTTGATCAATAATAAGGTAATTTTCTTCTTTTACCCCTGTTACATTGCCTTTATCTACTAAATCACTTGCCGTATCCTTAATGATATCAAGCTCTGGATCATCACTTCCAAGTAAATTTAAAAGTTCATCTTCACTTAGTTGCTTTCGGCTAGATATAAATAAAACGTAACTCATGTTCAGAATTTTAGATAGAAGACTGCCGATTAAAAATTAAAATCTATAAAGTCATCATCATCATTATCTATGGATCTACAACCCTGGGTGTAGTGTGTGTGCTTCTGTCACCAGATCTTGTGGTGTCGCTATTTGTGTGCTATTCGTGTCATTTATGTATTTTGTTTTGAATACGTTTACCTGAAGTCTCATTGTCTTCTAGGCTTTTTCTAATGTTTTAAAGCCTGTATTAGGAATATTTTTGTCCATGTTACTATGTCAATGTCATCTGCGTAGGCCAATATCTGTACACTTCTATTGATAGATTGTCTCTCTGGTGTAATCCAGTATATATTTGAAAAGACCTTGACACTCTGTTTTGTACCTTGACTTTGCACTCAACTTTCGAAAGAGTTGCCTTTACCAATGTTATTAGATGCGACGGAATATCTAGTTCTGCTATGGCATTATGAAATGCGCTTCTGTCTACACTATCAAAAGCGCTTTTAAAATATATGAAGAGGTGATGGGTATCAATTCCATATTCTATAGAAGTAGATCTTTAAAGTACCAGCCAAAAATTGTGATCTGAGGTCAAAATAGACCCTGGTCAGTCCAATGAAGGTTAATTTCAGAGATTTTTCATTAGTTGCTTAATTTTTACTGTTGTTAAATTACACTTTGTGATCATATGTTATTTGGGGAAATAAATAGTAATAGGCCCACAATTTCTGTCTGCTAGTTGTGCTCCACTACAAAATATTGATTTCAGATTCAATGGACTACAGATTGTACCCGGGCTTTAGTACACTCAAAAATCTTAGAGAGCAAAAAGCCTCTGAAGAGGCTTCGAAAAAAGCAAAATCAAGTACTAAACAAATTATCAGAACTCAGCAGAAAAGAACTTACAAAATTACAAAGATTAAAGACCAATGCTCTCATTACGATAGAAATTCACTCAAGGGATGTGATTGATAGATTATATAAAGCAAGTAAGTAGTAGATGTAATATGGTAACCAATGTAGGAGATAATAAAAAGCATCCAGACATGCGTTTTTTATATTTATTTTGTATATTATTAATTAAAGAACAATATTTAATTTATATTTTTAACAACCAAGGTTTTATTTAATTTGTATGCGTTAACTTGACTTTTAGATTGTCGTGATACAAATGCATTTGAATGGTTCTCTCAGCTTCGATTTTATTGGGACAGAGACTTGGATGATTGCGTTATAAGGCAAACAAATACAAGTTTCATGTACGGTTATGAGTACAATGGAAACTCTGGACGTTTAGTGATAACCCCGTTAACAGACAGGTAAATTTTTCATTTAGGTATTAAAAAACTAAGCTGTATATAGCAATAATTGAATAGTGGCAATTTGAAAACTGCTAATTGCTAATTTCTAAGTTTTCATTAATGTAATATAATAATTACTATTTTATTGGGAATAGGTCCCAATTTAAGTTTGTTGGTTTCTTCTTCTTTAAGTTCCATCTTCTATCTAAGGTTGGAAATCATCATGGCTATGCGGACTCTGTTGACTGCCGCTCTAAAAAGTTCTGCACTACTGCATTCAAACCATTCCCTTAAGTTCTTAAGCCAGGATATTCTTCGTCTTCCCACATTTCGCTTTCCTCGGATTTTGCCCTGCATAATAAGTTGTAATAATGCGTATTTTTTGCCCTCTCATCACATGTCCCAAGTACTCAAGTTTTCGTCTTTTAATAGTCAATATTATTTCCGCCTCATTTCCTATCCTTCTAGTTACTTCCATGTTTGACATTCTTTGAATCCATGATATTCGTAGGATTCTTCTGTAACACCAAAATTCAAAGGCGGCCAGCTTATTCAGATGAACTTGTTTTAGTGTCCAAGCTTCCAGACCATAAAGAAGAGTAGAGAACACGTAACATCGAAGCATTCTCAGGCGTAGTTCTAACCTTATATCCCGACAACAAAGAAACTTTTTAAGTTTAATAAATGATGTACGTGCTATTTCAATACGTGTCTTAATTTCTTTGGTTTGGTCTACATCTGATTTTATCCATGTTCCTAAATATTCATAGTTATTAACATTCTCAATTGCAATATCTTCAATAGTCAATTGGATATTTGCATGTGCAGATTTAGTCATGATCATGCATTTTGTTATCCGTAATTATTACTGTATCGTCTGCAAAACGTAAGTTATTCAAAACTTCTCCATTGATAGATATACCTTCTATTGAGTCTGAGAGCGCTTCTTGAAATACCGCTTCACTGTAGACATTGAAAAGTAGTGGGGACAGCACGCAACCCTGGCGGACTCCTCTCTGTATTTTGATATTTTCGGTGTACTGGCTGTCAACTCTTACCTTGGCAGTTTGATTCTAATATAAATTAGATATAATTTTCAGATCACGACTGTCAATATTTTTGCTTTTTAATATATCTACAAGCTTTTTATGTTGAACTTTATCAAATGCCTTTTCAAAGTCTACAAAACATAACTACATATCCTGATTTATGTCTATGCATCTCTGAGCCAGCACATTCAAGCCGAACAAAGCATCTCTTGTACTCATACCATTTCTAAAGCCAAATTGTGTGTCACTAATCTCATATTCAAGAGTTTTAAACAATTCTGCTGTGAATTATTTTCAAAAATGTTTTAAGTGTGTAACTCATTAAAGCTATTGTTCTGTAGTCTGAGCAAGTTGTTGAACTTGGTTTTCTGGGAATTGCTACAAAGGTTGATTGCAGCCATTGGTTTTTTAGACGTTTTAATTTTCGCTTCGGAAATCGTTCTCAAAATCCAAAATATTAATAAATTAAATAAATTTTGTTTTTTTGTTACTTGGTGAAAGTTATTTGTGTCAACAATCACTCTTCCATGACGTATTTGTAATCCATAAGACGAGGCTCTGAAGATGACATGTTACATGTCGAAAGTACTCAAGCTAATTTTATTAAAAAAAAATTTCACATAGGTTTTTTGGAAACATGCACCTGTTGCCAATTTGACCTATATTTTAGAAATGTGTACAACTCATTCAGTCTTTTTACAATTTGTTATTATTAGAGAAAGTGTGTAAAATTTTACTTAAAGAAAACATTAAAAAAAAACTTAGATAGAAGACAAATTAAAGTATTTGAAACACTTCAGACACGTTTTTAACAAAATAGGAAAAAATATAAACTTTTAGCCAAACTATAAGTAACCTTAGCCTGTACAAAGCTCGCAAACAAACATTTTTGTTTTCATTTCTAGTCAAGCAAACTCAGCATGTGCTCACTTTTAACACGAACAACAGCATAGCTATAACTCACATTTTTAGACTGTAACGACTATTTTGCTTTCCACAGGGTAAGAATATGGGGGGGACAAGATTGGGCAACAAAATAATCGAAACAAGTGCATACGGCACTCAGTTGGTTGTTGGAGAGCTGGGTCGTGGATAAGTTGAAGATATTGGGGGTTGGATTGGGGCAACTACAAAAAAAAAATAAATAAAGGGGTACTTATACAAATCTCTTGGGACAAACAGAATGAAAATAAACGGAAACACCTCAAGAAATTTAATATAGGGCGCCACTTGAGGTGCCTAATTATACCTATTACAACCACTAGTTGTAACTAGGGAAATAATTATAGAACATCAAAAATATAGAAAAAAATATATTTTTCAAATAAAACTCAAAATAGATCAGAGAAACAAATTGAACGTTTATTCTTGTCTCAAACAAACAGTTATCAAAATTATGGGTTACAAAACAAACATACTATATCATAAAACAAAATAAACAAAACTTACATATCTTAGTTTACATCAAAGATTGTTGAAAATTCAAATGGTTTCTAGGTTATATTATGGCCAATTAGATTATCAAAAATTAAGGATCCTTGTTAATGAAAACATAATAAAATTTAACCTTATATATGAAATATAGTTTTCTACATAATAATCAAATTAAAATTGTCATAACAAAAAAACAAATTAAAGCTTGCTGTCAGGTATCACATTTAATTTTAATGACAAAAAACAAAAGTATTAATAGCATAACCATACATATTACAATTTTTTAATTTGTTATGAAAGCAATTATTACTTTAGCCAAAAAATATCTGTCTTTACTTTGAAAAATTAATATATTGAATTGTTACCTTAATGTTTTTTTTATACAAACACTTTGAAACTTTACATCTCTGGGGAAGCTACTCGGACAAAACTTTCAAAACTGGAAGGCAGCAACCATCAGGAACTAGTTCTACACTCCAGGGCAAAACGGTTGGAACAGGAACTTGGTGGAAGAATCAAGCCGACTACGGACATCCTATATCATACTTCTTAGAAGCTTCCGGTATTTATTCAAATCTGATAGTATTATCATTGACCGGTCCTAAGACATTTCAAAAGCAATTGAATCCACTTTGATTCAAAAATGGCCCAACATTTCACATCCGCAAAAAGCGTCTACCACCGTTTCAAATAGGTTGGACTCACATTGTAGCACGTCTGCTCTGCTTCAAATCTAATCGTCGACTCCGTTTCAAATCAAATCTTGACTCAATTGTCACATGTCTGCCCCGTTTCAAATCAAATCTTGGACTTTACATGATAGCACGTCTGCCCTGCTTGGAAATTAAATGTCGACTCCTTATCCGCGTTACATTTTACCAATTCAAAGCCAAATAAATTTCCCTTCCGTCTTACAGCTAGCCTGTCGTCCACAAACTTAAAACAAACAATCTTCCCTGTTATTCGTTCCTAACGATGAAAGACAAATAAAACCTTTTTTTATTAGGAGGCATCATAAATTATAATCCCTTTATATAAAAAAAAACTTCGTCGAAATAGATATACATAATACAAATTAACAAAATAGCACGTATTTTAAACCGGAGTTCTACCTGACTTTGTAACAAAAGGTTCGATATTTGAATCTAAACACAGACAAAAAACATCTATATTTACTTTTGAATCGGTAGAAATATACGCATTATTGATTATTCTAACCGGAATATTAGGGGGACTTCATGTAACATAATACCTCTTTGGCGACAAAAAACTTGTTGTTTCACCTAACATTGCAACACAGAGATAAAAACATATTTCCAGCGTTAATACGCATTTAAAAATCTCGTCAAAAAAAAAACTTGAAATATTATTTCGATTGTTTTCTTTGGTAAAAACAACAGGAGCGTACTACAGAAATCTTTTATACACATATTAAATAAAAAAACGCTACAAGACAACTTGTACAGTTCTGTACAGTAAATGCAAGCACCATCATTAGTTTCTTCATTAGCAGGAAAAGGTTCTTTTTCGTTTTCCGACTCATATTCTACAAAAACATTCCTTTTTCCGCTCTTTTTATTTTTGGAGGGATCTCTGCTTTCGGTTTGCTTTTTTCTTTTGCCTCCTCTAAATTTGGAGTTAAGTTAAGAACAGAAGTGTCTTGACGTTTCTTTGCCTTTCTTTTTGCCTGGCCTAAAACAACTGGTCCGACTGGAACTGGATTTAAACCTGCCGGAGTAACCGCTAGTAAATTGCAACTGGTTGGATTTTGCAAGTTTGACTAAGCTGTCATCACATTAGGGACTTATATGCTAGAAGAGGAAGGTTCAGGTTCTTCATTATTATCATAAACGTTTACAGCAGGTTTGACACTATCTACTACAATATTTGTAGTTTCAGATCCTTGAAACATGTAATCGGGGAATACATAGAGGTTTATTGGTTAGATACCAGTTTTGGAAAATCCATGCGCAGCATTCTGGACATTAGCTACTTTGCCATAGGCTTCATTTAACAGACCACCAATTTGGAACTGAGTTACAACTCGACCAGAATGAGGTTTCAGCCATTTAGTTATTTCTTGGTCATAATAAGTTTTGAGTGGACCAAAGAATGCTACATGAGAGTTAGCATCTGATGTGTAGCCGGCAATCATAAAAGTAAAATGCCATTTTTGTTTATATACTTATTTGACATTGCCAAATACTTGTTTT